AGTTGTCCGTATGTGCTCAGTATGGTCGCTTCTTGGCCTGTTCAAACCGCATGACCGTCTTGTCGCAGCTACACAACGAGTGGTCGACTCCCCCCTGTCGATGACAACGGTCCACAAACATTCCCACATTTTTCTCATAAAAGGTGCTGCTCCCCGACTCGCCCTCCCTCCACACGTCCGCCGTAGGAATGAGGGAGGTTGAGATGAAAGAGGTAGTGAATGAGTGGCGTCGGCCATAGCAAACGCGGGCGGTCCTGGTCGCCGTCGGGGTAGTTCCAACGCAAAATACCTTCCGAAACAGAAAGGGGGGTGTACATAAAGGAGGAAACAGCACAATTTCGTTTCGGCGATACTCTTAGTACATGACGAAGGATTGGAAAGTCTAAAAATGAGGCTGAATATCTGCACCAAGAAGGATACAAGGAGGTAAAGCATGTCAAGCTAGAGCAAGGTGGGTTTCCTGAAGCAAGCACCATTCCAAGCGGAATCGATGGGTAGCCACGGGGGTGCAAAACAACCGGCGAGAGGATACAGACGATGTCTATATTTTCAAGAACTACAACCATAATGCCTGCCTGGACAACACCTCGCGGGAGGCACAAAAGTGTCCGGGCGGAATATCATACAAAAGCAGCTTGGTCATCAATCGAAGTAGCGACGGAAATTAGAAATATGTGTTCTTGCCGCCTGATCCTCCAGACACTTGCAGGATCAGAACGTACCATGCGACATTCAACGAACGAAGCCCATGTGTGTTGGGGTGTGACTCGTCATAAGACCTTCCGTACATGGTATGAACGACGTGTTCTCTAAGGCAAGCCGGAAAACTTGCGGTACTTGTTCAAGAAGGCGAGAAAGGGCCTATATAGTAGCAAGTGTAACCGGAATGTCATCAGAGAGAAAGATGTTAGGAGGAAGATGTATCAAGGACAACACTGCGAGCTGGTTCCCTGTGACGGAGCATGTTGGGGTATTCAATGAGCGTGAGCAAACGGGTACGACCAAAAGAGAGCAACTTCAAGTGAACGGAGGTTTGGCCTATCTCATCATGAACACAACATTCTCAATATAGTCCGCCCTGTGCCCCAGCTTGTGCACATCAAAGAAAAGAGACTAAGGCACTGATTGTTGAAGCACGTGCGATGGTTTCACTTGGGGGGCGGGATCGAAAAATTTCGATGATCGGACCCCCTCATGACCATCACCAGCTCCTCGTCCCCATCCGCTGCTTTGAACAGTTGGGCCTCTGACAAGGGATTGTGTGGGGTGACGCCAAGAGGGGAGGTCTGCGGCTTAGTAACATGGAGGTCACAAACGATTCGAGTGGGCCAGGAAATTGTATAGCCTACAAGGTACAGTCTAAAAGGTTCTGGGGAAAATCAGTTTCGAGTTTGTTAGTAGACGAAGGCATCGAACCCCTGCCGCTTCTGTCGGCAACGTACCGACACCGTGGCAATCGAGATACGAGAGCACCGGGGGGTCAAGAGATTCAAGCCCGGCGTCTGGCTGACGTCTAACGTATTGCTTGAAGATGCCACCCTGGGCACTAGTCACAGATAAACGCACCCCGGTCCAAAGCTATGCGCTTCTGGAACTTATTGAGTAGGTTTTGCTCAAGCACTCGGACGATCTCGTCGAAGGGTTCCTTAAAGATGCTGACCCGTTCCTCGAGACTGAGCTTGTTGAAGGCCTCCCTGTGGTTCGAGAGAACGACAGAACGGGTATTCAACATGGCCGGTCGAGTGTAGGGCGTTTTCAATGATATCCGATCACTCCGGACGTCTGCTGAGAATATCGAGCCCACGACACGACCACTCTGGAGCTCCATTGCAAGTTCAAATCGAGGTAGGGTCACTTTCTCCTTCTTTCCTTGCTATGGGTGGGTGTCCATCTTCGAATCGCGAGGCCCCGGAGAAACTGGGATTCCTGGGATACCGTACCTTGTTCTGAATGGCGCGATGCGTTTGTGCATTGCGCTGGATATGTTGATCTCGTCGGGTGACGTGGGAAGCAGGTAGTGGTTCAGGATGTGCAAGAAGCACTTCAACTGCTCGTCCTCAGGGTTTTCGCGATCTGCAAAGCGCACAAACCAGGTGAGCCCATTGGGGTGGGAAAAATTCCACAAACACGACCAGCGGGTATCAAAGCCCACCCGACAGAAGATATTGCTCTGTTGGCGACGTTTTAAAGTCTCGACCCTATGTACAACAAATTCCCCGGAGTGCAATCATCTATCGAGTCTTGCCTTATCTCGACCATTCCAAACTGATATCCATGATGTATCGTGTCGCCCTTCGCGTACGCATGCGGATACCTAAGGTTTTTGTGCGGCACTGGGTATATCAAGGGAGCACAATCAGATGTCAAGTTCTGTATTTGGCTGTTGTACATGTACTTACGGGGCTTGGCACCATGCGTTCGTAGCGGACAACGTCGACGAGTAAATCCCAGCTCTCCATGCACAAGTTCTCTCGGCAGAATTTTCCAAACTGCTCAGCCATTTCTCCAACACTGCTTGCCAGCCCTACCACGCCATCCACATCCAACGCTGACACGGCAACCGTCTCGTCGACAGGAACCACAGTGGCCCTGAACCATGCCTTCACCCCACCACGGTGGGTTCTCACCATGGGAAGGAGTAAGCTGCGTCGATGCAACAGCCAATGTATGGAGCAAGATTCGCGCGGGCGGGCAAATGGTGGATCACTGCCTCGGCTTTCATTGTGGCTTCATTCAGGCGGCAGATGAGAGAAACAGGTCTCCCCGGACATAACCACGCCCTGTTATACGGTCTCGCCAAGAGGGGGAGAGGCCTGACTACATAGCGGCACGGGCCTGTATCACGTTCCGCTTGGAAGCCAAACCCTATTATCAGCGCGGACGCAGAGGCTAAACGAATGTGCCTGATTCTGAGGCGAATCAACCTGTACGAGGCATGATACTACCGACAGCGACAATGAGCAGTGTCTCACCCCGAAATTCCAATGTTCATCCCGATCAGGAGCGCTTGCACTTGGACCACCACGTGAAGTGCGGATGTGTCGGACAGTAAGTCCAGTTCCACCAGCACCTGGATCACCCACAGTACAGCTGCGTAAAATGCAGAGACAGAGGCCCAGGGACAGCGTCGCGTGCTAAGTGGTGGGTCCAATGTCGTGACTCAATCGTAGGTGAATCCACATTTTCAGAATCTATCAATCTTGGCTCTCATCGTGCGTGACGCACGGTAAGCAGAGGATGGCCGCAACTTGACCGCAAACTTCTTCTGTGCGCCCTGGGGGGGTGATAATGGTGCATGACACGGTATGACAACGATGAAACAAGGTCTATGTTTGCATCCCAGAACTCAAACCGCAGACAGAAACCATTGTTCGTCTAAATATCCTGCCCTCTGCATCAGGACGCTCATCCTACTCGTGACTGGTGCCGGGAAGCCTTCCGAGAGAAGGCCTACAACACAATATGGAAGAGGTACCGTAGCATTGTGTAGCGTTGAGATAGCTATTTTTCCCTCACCTGCGCAGCAGGAGCAGCCGATGAACACAAAACACAGTTCCTCGCGAATCTTAAAGGCATCATTTACTCGCGATATGCGTATGGCCAAACACGACATTGGCGGTCCGCTCGAAAGGATCATTACTCCCACGAGAATGATGTCGTCCCAGTAGAAACACTCTCGCATGTCACTGCAGAGCAGAGAATAAGAGCAGTTGAGCCGGGAGATAAAGGAGATCAGAGGAAAAGTGCACCTCCAACATGATGGCTTGCAGTTGTTGCTTCGCGTCCGCCGCTTTGTTTTTTCCTTTTCCCGGGGGGGTAGGAGCAGCGGTTGCCACCCCTCGCCGGCGGCCTGCTCCACCCTCGCTCTGAGTGTTGGTGGCGGCAGCGCCTCCCGTGGTAACATGAGTGTTCCCCGAGATGCCAGGCAGCAGCACTATCTTGCTGGAGAGCAAGCCTCCACCGCCTACGGCGGCACCGAGAGAGCCCGTCTGCTGGAATTTCGTGGTCTGCCGGCCACGCTGGGTGGTCGTGATATCCATGTCGGTGTCCATGATGTCGTGTTTTCCGCGGTTTGTGTTGTGTCGTCTGTGTTGTCTCGAAGTGAGCGCTACAACTCACGGACGGCGTCATTTTTTTTGACACAAGTTGCACAAGTCTACGTCACAAGTTTAAAATGACTGCACACAGGTTCCAAGTTTTTGAAAGACAAATGTCGAAAATTTTGACAAAAAAGTCGGTCCGTTTAAAACGGTCCTTACTCGCGATATGCGTATGGCCAAACACGACATTGGCGGTCCGCGCAAAAGGAGTATTGCTCCCACGAGAATGATGACGTCCCAGTAGAAACACTCTCGCATGTCACTGCAGAGCAGAGAATAAGAGCAGTTGAGCCGGGAGATTAAGGAGATCGGACGAGAGGTGCACCTCCAACACGCTTTCTCATTTTGCGCTCGATTGACAGGTCTCCGCTACTGTGACGTGCTTACGCGATTATCGAAAGAGGGATGCAATGGTGCATAGTCGTCGAGGCGAAAGAGAAGGATGATGAGGCGAACACTTGACAGCACACCTTCTTCCAAGGCTACGGTAGCAATGAGATGCTACGCATCCCTGCTGGCTTATCTAAACGTTCGAAAACCTGACCCCAATGCTTGCGTGAGACCGGCGCCTGCCTATCGAAACGACAAATCGAAGCATCAAACGTTCGGTTCTCCACCTGAAATGATTTGTGGACTGACGTCGGAAACATTTAATGTTCATTCAGCAGTTTGTCGATTTCACAACCTACACGTATTCTGCAATCGCGTCCGGCGTTGCAACAGCGGTCCGCTCTGGCAGGCTTCAAGCTGTGTGTTTGGTTGTCCCCGGGAGTAGTGTGCAGGATCGGTCCCGAAGAATATCCCGGCTCGGATGGTGAGCCCAATGCAGGCCACGGCCCCAAAGCCCAAAGCATGATTTCTTTTCACGAATCTGGCGTACTTGAGCCGACATTTCCGATTGTACGCGACCACTAATCGGACGGCCCGAATCACGTACGGGGTCGTGGCAAACATGAGTGCTGCAACAAGGAAGTGTCCCAGCACGACCGGATGAGGGAAGGGGGCGTGGTGGAACGCGGTTGAAGTTGGCGTTTTCGTGGGACAAACCAACAGATGCAACATATGTGCACAAGGCAACCTACGGAACTACGTTCAACGGTGTAACTGCATGTTCCCCTACGGCATACAAACGTGGGTTTTGGCTTCCAAACCAAGTCAGTGAGTTCATATCGATTCGACGAAAGCATTGCAGTTGTGACAGCGGTATGCATGATACCAACAGTACTATGTACCCTGCAAGACTTCCTCGTCCACAGGTTAGAACTACGGCATTGGTGATGTTCCCTTGGTCTTATCGCCTTGGGAGACGATGAAGCTGACCCAGCAAGGTAAGGTGGTGCCCATGCTCCGTAGCAGCCAGTTCAAGAGGACGGACACGACCAAAATTAGGTTCATCACCTCAGTCGCGAAAATCAGTGAAGGCGACCTCGCCGCTACCTCGAAGTCGTTCCTGTGCACAAACAACATCAACAACAAGGCCAACCACCCGAGCACGACGGTCACCAACAACACAAGAAGAATCACAGGCACCCAAACCATGCCCGAGATGTGCTTGCGTCAAGAATACCTGTACTACTGTCCGGTCGACTTGGTTTTGCGCATAGACATACATACCGGATGCGCCGGCACAGCGTCCAAATTCAGTCCATTCACGAAGTGTCGTTACTATTAGCATCGACCTCGCCAACCGGCTGACCAATGAAAAGACGTCAACGATCTATTCACCAACACCGCGCTGAACAACACGGATGGATGGAGAGGAACTGGATAGACTAGAATATGCATAAATGAGAACGAAAAACAGCAACGACAAACCACATGTCGACAACAAAGACGACGACCACAATGTTTTCTATCTTTCCTTTGCCGCATGTACATTGTATGTACTGACTCGCTTTCCCGAATACATTACGCCCTCACAGGTGGTGCGTGAGAAAAGAGAACAACAAACAACCAAAAACAAGCCAGCGACAGCGGGACAGCGGGCAACAATCCCGCCGCATAGAACCAAACCAACAAAGTGCAAAGCGGTGTTGTCTCTATGTGTCTACTCACGGAGCCCCCGCGCTTACTCCGGCTGCTGCTCCAAAAACACTCCACGATGAGTGGCATCGGCAGCGGAGCCTTGGACAGAATCCTATCGCGGGTTCGCGCCCTCACCAATGCCAGGCGAACAGGAGGAAAGGAAAAGGCAGCGGCAGCGTCGGTAGTAGCGCTGGTGTACCTGGCGGTGGTCTTTCGGCAGGGAAAGCGGCCGAAGCTCGTATGCCGACGTTCTGGGCACAACGTACGCGTGCTGCGAGCTTTGGCAGGGGTAGTCGACCGGCCGTACTACCCGTCGTGGCTCACGCCCAACGCGCACGTGAACTGCCTGCTGGGGTACGCCAAGAGAGGCATCACCGTTAGCAAAACCAGAGAGCTCATTCGTTGTTGGGGTGAGAGATCGATTCATGTTCTCGTAATGCCGTGCAGATGCATGTGCATGCTGGTGTGCATAGACCAGATATACAGCAGTATCACTGCTGTAGGCAGCATGTGCTTGTTTCGGCAGGTTCGGGTGTGTGGGTCATCCCGTAATTACTGTTTGTGGTGATCTCTGTGCACTGCGAGCTCGTTTTTTTAGGAGTTTTTTCCGCGCGCGAAGCGCGCGTGCGAAAAAAAACGGAGCGATAGCGGAGTTTTTTTTTCGCAAAAAAA